TTTTTCTATACACTGTGTGTGGGTTCTGAATTTTTCAGTAAAAATGGAAGAAAATGAGAAGCATTTCCATCATTTGATGCTCTTTTATTTCCAGAAAAGAAAAACCTATGTACAAACAGCAAAATCGATATGCGCCGTTTATGGAGATAGTGCCATAGCTAAGAGGACTGTTCGTAAATGTTTCGCTAGGCTCAGAAGTGGATATTTTGATCTGGAAGGTCGAAAAAGTTCAAGCAGGCCTGCAGGTATTGATGGCGCCCGAATCAAAAACCGATTAAAAATAATACGGGTCAAACGGTACGTGAGATCACAGAGGTACCCCACATGTCTCACTTGCGCATTGTAAGGCGTTTGAAAACTCATGGAAAACATGAATAGCTACGATGGTTGTGTGTCTCACGATATAACGGGAAAATTTTAATGAACTGCGTTTAAATCTGCTATTATCTACACAAATGCAACAAAACAAGCATATTTGTTTTAATAGAACAATCACAGGCGATGAAAAATAGATTGTTTACAACAATGTGGAGCGGAAAAGATTCTGCAGAAAACGAATCATCAACTACTCCAAAAGCTGGTTTACAGCTGGTGGAATTGAAAGAGCATGGTGTATTACAGGGGGGGGGGCTAAACTTGCTTAATGTAAATGCTACATACGATAAAGTTTAGATGTTTGAAAGCATGAACAAAATTTACACATACTTTTTTCTAATATACACATGTGACCACTTTCACTCTCCTGGTACACCCAAATCATTAATCTCCTTCCCCATGACTTCAGTTTTCAGACATTCCAAACCAGATGCTGTACTGTTCTCAATTGAATCGACCAATCTCTCCACTTCCTTGAGTCCTCCAACCCGGTCTTCTGCCTTGTGTCAGTCACACCTTGTATATATATATATATATATATATATATATAATAGACTCCCCCATCATTTTCTACGTATGAGTGTCTTTCAATTCAGTTTATGTCTCGTATGATACAACAAACGTTCATAGGATTTGCAAACAAGTCCACACAAGGGACATGATAAAGGGTTGACCGAAATTATGGTCAGATTCTGATGCACTGAATGTGATGTTTTGTAAAAGATCCCTTTGTATTCATATAATATTTTATTTAAATTCCTTGAGGTTTCTCCTATGTATTCTTTGTGGCAATTATTACAGGTAATAGAGAAATTTCCTCCTTCAAGATTTAGCTTATTATTATTTTGTTTTGTATTGTTTTAAAACTAGTTGCAACAAATTTTATGTTAAGCTTAAATAAATTATTTTTTGTTATAGTTGTGATAGAGTTGGTCGGTAAAATAATATATTTAGATTCGTTGAGTTTGTGAGAATGGTCAACCCCGTTATTTTGAAATATGTTACGAGTCTTCTGTTTCGTGCTGAATATGAAATATTCAACAATAATATTACATCAACAATAATATCTCTTTAGCCTGATGAAGTCGTAAAGGATGAAACGCACCACAAAAAAAAATTTGTTTTTTTTACATTAATTTTTCCTAACATTATATATATATATATATATATATATATATATATATATATATATATATATATATGGCAAAAAACAAAATTACCTCAGCAAGTGAATAGTCTATTTCTGGCTGGTCTGAACCACGTCGTCTTCAGCTCTTAAGTGTTTGCCTGGAAAATTTTTTAGAATTTATTTTCAATATCAATTCCCTTCAAGAGACGCCTTGTTTATGATAAGGGGTTTGTGTTGGTGACTGTGGTGGGGGCTGAGGTATCTCATTACGAGGAAAGCAGTCCAGTATTGAAGTTTGTTTATGGCTAGAATTCTAATCCCTCCCTTCCAAACAAACACTATACCTTACACCTACATACGGAAACCTTCGACCAATAAAAAACCATACTAGGCGAAACAACAAATCTCATTGGTTTACCACGCAAAAGTACATCAACGCTGACTCACTTGCAATTTAAACTCGACCAACTCTGTGGACATCAAATCGCAAACCTAAAACAACTTTGCTTATCCAAAGTGAACTATACTCACTACATTATTAAGTAAAAATCAACATTCGAACGATTCAAAAAATATTACAGTCAAAGGTAGACCACTCTATAAGAACTCATTCCTAAAAACACTTAACATTGACATTTTTAATATTAATTAACACAATTCCAGAAAGACTGTAACTGAACATACAAATACAAAAAGAGACATACCGAAACCTCAAATATCACACACACTTTGCCATAGTAACATATACCAAAATATCCTGTATATATATTACTTTGAATTGTATATAAATGTTTTATTGGTTTCTAAATTGAATATGTCTTGTTTTTGATTGTATTTAAAATTTGTTTATTTATTTGTTTGTGGATGCAGAAAGTCACACAACCTACACAAATTCCTTCTGATTCACTCAATTACAATTAATTAATTCTGCACATCCCCAACACTATCATTAAAGTTGATTGACATAAAATTTCTGATATTTTCAATCGTATTTGGCTTAGATAGCAAACAAACTTTTATGCGTCAACAAACAAAAAGCCATACACAAAGTGTTATTTACAAAACTGTGTGGAATAACTACTGAGAAATATTATTAAGTATTTCACAATTTTAAGATCAATTAAAGGTTTCTGTATGTATGTATGTATGTGAAAAAGAAATGTATGCTGATAAGAAATTTGTTGATGTACATATATTGAGGAGAGGAAGGAAGCTGGTGTCACTATGTCTGTAACAAATGGCTTTGTGAATAGCAGTTAGCCAGTTTAATATGAAGTCGCTGCAGTACCAGTTGGTCCTTTTAATGCAAGTGAATTTTCTACTTCTAGAATAAAAAAGAAATTTTGAACTTTTTCTACTACTCTTGAAATCCTCGGCCCATTGAAAACTGTCCCTATAGTGTTCATATTTACAATGCTACAACTGTGTATTATATTTTATCAGAATGAAATATATATAAAAACAATATTGTATTTTTATTAAACATTTATTTTAATTATTAAATTGTTTTTAAATTATTAGGACTATTTTGTATGTTAAGTAATAAAACTTTTAATTTTTCCCCCAAAGTAATGAAAAATTTATTGTACCTACACACCCTACTAAAACCAACAGTACTTTGTACCCACTTACCTGTTTGCACTTCTCCACAAAATTTGGTTTCACTTGGTCAATGTATAGTGATTTTAGACGTTATGACAAATGGACAGACTAATGAAAGTCACAGAATTTTATATATAGACTGATTTTTTCAGGTTGCCTGTTCACTTTATTTGTTTTTCAGTTAGCTACTCGCTCTCAGGATTTATATAGGTTTGGAAAACTTAAAAAAAAAGTTATTTATTATATCTGAACAAGAATGTGATGTATTCATTTTCTAGGCTTCTTTGCTGTTTTTCTTATGTCACCTGTTATTGATCTATAATGGTGGTGGTGGTGGTGGTGGGTGTGTGTGTGTCGTGTGTGAATAGCCCAAAGTGTCTCAAGAGTAAATACACAAGGTTGTGCAACTATATATAAAGATTTTTTTTGTTTTTTTACCTGTAGTGATGTGTTCTATTAACTCAATGTGTTCACAATATATACAAAACAGATAAATAAAAATGACCAGAAATGTCGTACATCCCTCAACAAAATAGAAATTCCAAAGTGGGAAGCAAAAATAGAAAAATTTTAAAATAAATTATTTTAGTAAACATGGACTTTCATGCCCATAATAAGACGTAATATCAAAAGATGGTTTTTCCCATGATACCACTTTGATTTTAACTAACTTCACTCCTCGGCAATGTTTATTGTTTTAAAAAGCAATGATTAGAATTGGAATAAAACATAAATATATGAAAGTGAATTTATATATTTTCTTTGTTCTTGAGAATTTACAACAAAAATATTAAACACTATTTATTTATTTATTTGTTTATTTTCAAGAATAATTTTATATTTACAACATTCTAAAAACTAATTCAATTATTAAGACTAAATGCAATGCAATATTTGTCATTTACCAATTTATAAAGAAATAAATGTAAAACATTTTTATTCATAAATTTATAAACATTTCCTAAGTCATTAAAATATTTGAACCAACTATAAGGAAATCCCTATTATTTACCATTTTATAAAGTTTGAAGTGACTGGCACTTAACCAATGTTTTGCCAACCATTCCAATAATCCAATAAATAAAGAGTGTTTATTATTTTTGTTGTCAATTCTCAAGAACAAAGCAAATGTTTAAATTCACTTTCATATATTTAGATTTTATTCCAGTTAGACACTGCTGGAGAATTTACTTTTTCCATGACTTTTAAATTGGCACTACTTGAGTTACCATTATTTATTTTATTTGTTTGCTTTTCCTTTATTTTTCAATTTGAATGACCAGTGACAATTTGAGTGTTGTTAGGTAATATTGTTAGTATTTAAACTAGAAAATTTTCTACAAGGCCTTTTATAGGATGCAACTTGATGTTTTTAAAAAGTTGCAACTCCTACCTTTACAGATATATTCGCAAAACCAATATGGAAGATAAGGCTTGAATGCCTGATCCAACTTTTGAAGATACCTCATTAGTTTAGCCATTTTTTTCTTATTCCTCTGTCGGAGCAACTCCTTGTTACCACAGTTTCTATTGTTTTTAGCTTGTGGATCCAAGGAGTTAATAAAAGTCCCTATAAGGCTTCAATACTTTACAATTGTAGATGAAGTTTTTGTTAGAGAATAAAAAATCCCAATAACATTATAATAAATATATTTAAATTTTCATTTTTTTTCTTTGCTTGAAAAAAATGTTATAAGACATAATTTTAAAAAATAACATTTTAATTATAGAATAAACAAATTTGTTTTCAACTTTTATAAAAAAATAAAAAGGAAAAAGTTTCTAACATTTTCATCAAAACCTTTTTCCTCCAGGTCAATAAGAGAGAATGATGACATGCGATCGGATGTAACTCGTGTCCAATTGTCTCCTGTTGAAAAATTTCAGCCATTCTTCATTCTTTTGTAAACTCAGCCACTGAAATACCACAATATGTCAAAGCTCTTTCAATCACCAGACGACCAACATCCTCATAATACAAACCACCGGGAAGAAATTCTGGTGTCAACTCTCGAAATGTCATTGCTAACCGTCGTTTGGAGATATCACACCTGAGAATGCCATGTTTCCAATCGTAACGAGCAGGTCCAGAAACGACAACAAGTGATCGACATGGTAGAGGGACCCGAACTTCCGAGTTCAAAAGATCTGATTGATCAACTAATAATCGAGATGGCACTTTATCCATTGTCAGGCTGAGGTAAGTGTCTGCCAAGAGATTGACAGTTATGAGACGTTCACCCCAAATCCAGAAATCATCAAAGTGGGGGTCGATAGCTGAACCTCTTGCAGGGTCATACTCAAGATTACAGAGTTCAACGGGTATGAAGTCACTGAGGTTCTTCAAGTCAGTGAAACGATCGACAAGAAATTTGCTGAAGGCAGGCAGTCCAGTAAATGAATCACATTTGATTTTCTTTTTCTTGAAGTTGATTTTAGGACCATAATCCTAAAAGAAAATGAAAAAAAAAAAAAGATTTTTAAAAATTTTATTCAAGGGTATAGTCATCATCTATCAAACTTAAGTAAAATTATTTCCCCTTAGTATGACAATTGCAGTTTTTCTATTCTATTTTTTTTTTTTTGTACAGTAGGGTTCACCCTGTACAAGGCCTGGGGGCCACTCAAGGTAGAGGGTTACATTAAGGGGTAGTTTATATGGATAAGAGGGGATGATAATGGTTGACTCTAGACTTGAACAGGTTAAGATTGTAGTGATTGGGGAAACATCCTTTTGGGAGTCTGTTCCATAGGGCAGTGGATCACAGAAAGATGTTCGAGTAGAACTCACTTCTCACCAAAAGGAATGTAGAATCATGTGCTTCAAGTTGTTTCGATTTAAAAGCACACTGCAAATCAGTGTGACTTTGTTAAACAACATTTTAAATAACTCTTATGAGTCCTCTTCAAACCTCCTTCCCTTGTACTAACTCATGAAAGTGTAAATGCTGCTTGTGTATTGAAGAGATTAATGTGGCTGCGTGTTGAAGAGCATTTAACATTTATACATTATTGAATCAAGGAAAAACAATGAGAAAACGATTTTTGTTTCAACGATAAAATATATATTAAAATCAACAAATTTTGTAATGTGTGAATATTAAGGAAAAGAAAGAAGTTTCCCTTTATCTGTTAGCTTGAGTAAGATAAAATGTAATTAAGGATGTTTCTTGAATAGAATGTTCAAAGTTCTATGTTGAAATAGAATGTTGCATTCAGAAAAGCATACAGTTAATACAGTTGTGTGTTATTTGTATAACTAACAGAGTGTTGGTTTGTAACTTGGCTTGTTCACAGAAAATGAATGATGAAATGTAATTCAAGTTCTATGTCTGTGTGTGTGTAGTGAGTAGAATCAATAGTCTGTATAGACGCATGTGAGTTGCTGAATTCTACTGTCTATTTTTGGAACAAAACACTGCTTTTATAACTATTGGTAGGATCCAGGAAACAAAGGCGGGAGAATTGAACAAACACAGAAAATATATGATTGGATGAAAAATTAACCAATCAGTGATTTTCTAACAAAAGCATGTTTGTGAAATTCACAGCAGAAAAAATTCAGTGTGGTGACTGTAATTAGTAAATTGTCCTGTGGTAAACAGTATTTATTATTTAACCAGTCACAGTTGAGAAAACTGTAGGCATGGCAAACGTAGTAGTAGTCACTACTATAGTGCTGAAGATCTTCCAAGCTATTCAAGGCATTTACATAGAAATGATGAAATTTTATTGACTGCTTTTTTAAATGCCATTGTTCAGTGTCTATATGATGATTATTTACATTGTTCAAACTATCATCCTCATCTTTGCTGCCATATTTATTACCATGTTTCAGCCATTGTACACTCCGACCTTCTTCAGGTGGTTGGAATGTCGAACTGAACCCCTTATTTCGCTCGATGGGGTAGACTGTTCTAGTTCCACGTGCCATGTCTAATGGATGTCAGTTATCAGTTATCTCCTGTTAATTCCCCTCGCCAAGTTCTCCACCGCCTTAACCAGGTATTGAACTCACACTTTTTGGGTCCTATCACTGGATCTAACTAACACCTCAAGGACACATGGCACAGTGGATAAAGGCCGAAACGTTGTGATAAATATTGCAACAAAGATGAGGACGATAGTACGAACAATGTAAAAATAGTGTACATAATACCTCATCTCAGAAATATAGACAGAGACTATATGATGATTGTTCGTGGTTTTCTCAAAGTAAAACAGCATTATGGGAAGATTACAGCACATATCCTAATAATTTCCATCGTAATCGGAGAATGGAAATTATGGATTTTAAACGAAGATCACGCGATAATGGTTCCATAAAACAAGTTTAAAAAAAGAAAACTTATCTCCCTTTAATGATCAAAAGGAGTTATTTCCCTTTATTAATATTTATCTCTGTCATATTTCAATGTTTTTAGGTTTGTTCATTTTTTCATTGGTTTTATTATCTGCTAACATTTTTCTTCGTTGTATGTGTTCATTCATATTTATGTTAATACCTCCCTCTTTCTTTCTCTCTCTCTCTTACTGTTTCTATCTGTAACAGTTGTATGTATAAAGGTGTCTGTATTTGGAGACCAAACCCATGTAAAAGCCAAGATTTCAAATGCTTATTTTAAAGGTTGATAATACTTTCCCACATAGAGGATTGGTATAACCATATTCTATTCATATTTTATTAATATCATATCATGTTCATATCATAGAATCATATTCTATTCATTTCCACAGGCCAGACAGAATGAAATTGACAAAGAAAAACTTATTTGTACTCAAAGTGTTGAGTACATTCATTAATTTAATTGTACAATGTCTAACTTTTTACGGGTCACATGTCTAAGGAGCCAAAAATAATTTAGGCAATTTCTTTTCAGAGCTCTTGCTATTGTAGCAAATCCAAGTCTCTTTCTAACTGGCTTCTATGCATTTTACAAATGTCTATAAGCCTCCAGAGAAATTTGGAAAAATATTTTTATTCAGTAATCAATCAACGTAAAAATTTAGGAAATAAAGAACACAAGGAAAAATATATAAATAGTAATTTTTTTTATTTATATTTGGACTATTGTCCTTATCTTTGCTGTTGTTATCACAATATTTTGATCTCTGTGTCCTCCAGCTTTCCTCAGGTAAATTCAATCTGAGTAACCAGCAGGGAATTCTGAATATGAATCCTTTATTTGATACTAGAATGTTAATAGCAGCTACTTTAACTACTACAGATCAGTGTGTGTGTGTGTGTGGAATTTTGTTTGTTTTTTGGGGTTTTTTAACATAACTTACTACCTTTACTGACCTGTTTTTTCCTTCCTGATTGTGAATCCACAAATGCTCTTTTGTCAATTTCATTCACAAGGAACTCCTCTTCAGAGACTGATATGAAATTCCGCAGAAGAATGATTCCAGGAAACTCAATTGAATCTCCCGAATGATCCGGATGTGTTCCAGGAACATTTTCCTTCCAACCTTTTTGGCAAAGTTCACAGTAGATATAAATGTGTTTCTGTTTAGGAAAATTTAAAAAATGAAAAGAATAAATAAAAATTAGGAGGAGAGATTTTGTAAGGCACATTATGTTAAAAATTGTTTTCTTCTTTATTGGATGGAAATTTATTTTAAATTTACAGGAAATTGAAAGATTTCCTGGCCTTTTTAGAATTTTAATCTATGAAGCCTTGTTGCGGAAACTACATAGGATTTTTAAAATTTTTTTTTTACAGTAGGATTCACTCTGTACAATCCCCAAGGGCCACTCAAGGTAGAGTTACAGAGTAAGCAGCACAGTTTATGCAGATAGGTGATGAAGATAACAGTTAATTCTAAACTTGAATATTTTTAAAATTGAGCAAATATCCTCTTAGGAGTTGATTCCACAGATTAGCACAAAACAAACATCAAAGCTGATTTTATTCAATTTGATGAAAATAAAACAACTGTATTTTTATTTTCGCACATTTTACCACAAAATTTTATATCAAAATCTGCTTTTGTTCTTTAACCAAAGATTATTTTTGATTGATTTTGATTGTTTTTTAAGGCTTATCAACCTTTTGTGGATTATTTAAAACTGAAACAGGTTTTTGGGCTGTAAGACTAATTCTTTTTTTGTGAGTGAATATTGTATTGACAATTTTGGGGAGGATTACATTGATTTTTCCAAGTAGAATCCTATTTAACCCATAACTCTTGCTGAGAAGAGATGGATTCATATCTTTCCCAAGGCAATTTGTGTGTAAATAAAGGTAATGAACCTGACTAGAATTAAAACTCAGCTCTTCCAACTCCTCATTCTGAGGTGTTATCCATTACACCACCTTGCAAACTCATATATATATATATATATATATATATATATATATATATATATATATATATATATATATTATGCTTCATTAAAGATGACAGACAAGTTACTGCAATTAAACTTTTTATTCAATTTTATAAGTCTAGAAACATACACACAACAGATACATCCAATTAAAAAGTAAAAGTAAAGTCACCCTTGATAATGACTAAAAGTATATCCAAAAGCACTTGGAATTACAGAACATTTGGACAGTTTCTACACAGAAAATAAAAACACTTGTTCGAACAAAAGAAGAAATAAATAAAAAGCTTAATCACAGTACCTTGTCTGTAATCTTTAATGAAACATATATAAAAGAGGGATTGCTACCTAAATACACAATTATCATTTTTATATATATATATATATATATATATATATATATATATATATATATATATATATTATATGTGTGTGTGTGTGTGTTAAAAGTTAAATAGGAATTTAGGTTTACTCAGAGAATATAGTTTTCATAGGGAGCCCTCTAAAGTACAACATTCCCTGGAAGTGTGAACAACTTCTTTCATTTTAATTAAAACTAAACAGACTCTCAATTTGCCATGTTAAGAACATGACAACATCTAAATATTCAGAAGCAGTTAAAATATTTGTTTATATATATATATATATATATATATATATAAAATGGATGTTTTATTTAGTAATGCAACAATGTGTGCAAGTGGTGAAATAGATAAGTAAGAAAAATCAGAGAAAATCAGCAAAAGTTTCACTGAATTCACTTACATGCAAATACCCTCATCATTCTCTAGCAAGATTTGAACCTGCATCCCCACTGAAGAGAGGGAACTGTTATATTCCTCTTAAAAGCACTATTCAGCCTTGCTTGATCAGTAAAAGTTCTGAGTTGGTTAAAGCATGTTGATTCTAACAATGGTCCCCACTGATTAGAGTGCACATTTTTCTTTAATAAAATTTCTCAAATCTTCAGGCAAGTAGAGAAAAATAAAATATATATATATATATATATATATATATATATATATTGTTGTGATGAGATAACCCAACTTCCCCATTCACGATAATGGACAGACTGGTTGCCGATAAAGTACGACCACAGGCAACAGTAGAAAAGGTCTTCGTTTACTAACACCATTGCGGTTAGCTTACTCCTGACTCTGTCTCTGTATTTTGACATACCTACGTCCGATTATAAAATTATTATTGAAAACCACACTCGGGTTTACTTTGTTTTATTATATCTTGCAATAGATATAACATATATATATATATATATATATATATATATATATATATATATATGTATGTATGTATGTATGTATATGAATAAAAAGACAAGAGGAAAAACTATTCTTAGCTGAAATGTTTTATCCTCTGAAAAACATCATCAAGACAAATGTAAAGATTTATTTTGCTGCATGTGATTATATACAAAGGCAAGTATATCATTGCTTTATCAAGCCTTTTAAATTTAAGAAAATTCATGAATATTCATCAGGTGTTTGAAAAGTCAGTTAAAACAAATGGAAGACACAAAGTGCCATAATTCAAAATCTGGTAAGACAAAAGTAAGTGAGTTTTTTTAGTTAATGAATATTGTTTAAATTTGGATCAGATTGTTATGGTTTGGGATGGACATATGTGATGTACATCTTAATAATTTAAGGTCATGGATTTAACCGTTTTCTTTTGATTTTAACATTTTTGTGGTCATGTATCTTGGCTTGAAAAAGCAATCATTCTTTCAGGAAAGAAATTGGGGATGTAGATTTATATTTTGATAGATTTTGATAAGTGTGGTATTTATATATATATATATATATATATATATATATAGATAGATAGATAGATAGATAGATAGATAGGCGGCCACAATCTTAACAACTTAAGATACACAGATGACACTGTGTTGATGGCATACACAGAAAGAAAATTACAGGACTTCCCAGCCAATGTAGTAAATGTAAGAAGGAAGAAAAGACTAAACATCAGTTTTAAGAAGACAGAATGTAAGGTTGCCAGCAAGAAAAAAATTACTAAGATATGAACTACAAATTGGAGATGTGAAAATCAAGCACATACAGAAGTCGAAATATCTGGGAACAGTGGAGGACAGGGTCGAAAATTTTTATGGAGAAAACTTGTAAAAGGGCCTAGTGAAAAGGATCAACTTAATCCCTGTAATGATCCACTGGATCATCAAGTCTTTCATTGCTCTGAAGTTCACCAGGCATTTGTCTCATTCTTGAAGTTCTCATCTTCCTGAATTCTCCATCTATTTCAAAATCAATCTCATCATCATCAATAAGCCTAAACAAAATCTAAAAATATCCTTAAAAATGAAAAAAACAGCTTCATCAAACAAGGAATTGAGGATATCTTTTATCTACCAAAAGAAATTATAACACCAAAGACTTATATTAATCTTCCCAGCATCTATGCAATATTTTTTTTTTTTAGTTTTTACTTTTTTTCGGTTATTTCTAAAGTGATGGAGTATCACTTTGGGGCCCACCAGGAAATTTCCCAGTATCCTAGTGGGCCAGTCTGCCACTGTCTTGAAAGTATTTTAACAGAGGATGGAAAAATGTGCCACTGAATTTTGAAGATGAATTGGAATACCAAAAATGACTTCCAAAATCTAAACAATGTATTAAGAAACGGGAAAATTTCCGCACCAAGAAAGAAAAGATTGTTGAACTGCTTGTGTAATATCAATCCTTCTGTATATCAGTGAAGGTTGGACAATATCCTGACGGGATGAAGAGGAGACTTGAGGCAACAGAGATATGATTCTATAGAAGGATGTTGAAAATACCATGGATTATCTACACCTTGTCTACCAAGATGCTGGTCGGTAGAGTTGTTTCAGGATGATAAAAATAAGATAAACTCTTCTTTCTTTTTGCTTTTTTTCACTCTAGGTTATGGTAGGTACAAGATATCTTGTCCCCTCTGAAGAAAATTCTTACCTCAACTGACCTACTACTAAAATTTAACTCACACACTAAGGCTAAGTACATAAATGTTATCCCTCCTTTTTTGTAGTTACAATGTATACTCCTAAATGTAATTTCTTTTTGTGATCTATGTCACTCATTATATGAAAATATATATGTATAACTCCTCCATGTGTTGAATTCCTTTCTTTCAAAAATGTTTAGATTCATTTTTTAAAGTCAAAATGTTTATGTTATTATTAAGAAGAAGGACCAAATGTCAGCCGGGCTGTAGCCGAGACACAAATAAAACCAAATTAAAATTGTCAATATCTCCTAAAAACGGTAGGTTTCCGCAAATTTTTAATGTTGTTTTTGGAATATTCAGGCTTTTTTGCACGAGAAATGATGCTTCTTTTTAAAATGGTTTCTGGGTCCTAATGTATGTTATAGTAAAACTTTTTTTTTCCCCCCACAAAAATTAATGAAAATTTGGTGCTTCATATGATTTTTTATATAATATTATTGTTGCTATATTATTCTAATTTTGTTATGTGCTTGTAAGAATATCTAAGGGAGTCATTTTTCATCGTTTCTCGATTATTGAACAACTAGAAAGATTAACGCCAATTCTGACGATTACAATTCACACTGGTGGGTGCGAAAGTGTAATAGCGCCGAAAATGTATTTATTGTACTAAGTTATACCCTAATAAAACCAATTATACTTGGTACCCCTTTATTTGTTTGCACTTCTTCCCAAAATTTGGTTTCGATCGGTCAATGTGACATCACATGGCTAGTGTGACGAACGGACTAACGGATCACGGAACTTTATATAAAAATAATAACAACATCCCAGCTTAAATCTAGTTTTACGTAAACTTGTCAAAATTTTGGTCTTGACGTGTAAATAAAGAAATCCGACAGATGCAACGTACACACATCTCTGAGGAAGACGGAAAATATTCGGTTGAAAGTGAAACGTCAAAAAATGAAATGAAATTATAAATAAATCCAAGTGATATCAATAAAAATTTATTTACTAACCTTTTGTTTATTGATGTTTACATTTGATAAATATTTCGTCTTGCTTTCATTGATCATCAAACTTTCACAGGCAAGACATGTACGAATTCCTTTGCAAGAACAAGGCTTGTGTTCTTTCGTTGTCTTTGCCATCTTTTTCTTTCTCACATCAAAACAATCTTGTTCCTTTTTTTTAATTATTTCTTTTTAGTGTTAATTTTTCTACGTGTTTCTGAACAATGGATGGATGTCATTGATGATTGAAAGAATAAATAAAATTCAAATTTTAAACTTTTTTTTTACAATTTTTGCTTAGAGTAAAAAGTTGGGAACTAAATCACCGTGTAAGGAAATATAATCAAACGGGACTTGTACACCGGTTGAAGTTAAATTCTATTTCTCCAAAGAAGATTTACAAATAAAGGTCAGTTAATCAGCTAAAGAAAATGGTTTTAAAAAAATGCTGATTGTACCGGGTAATTAAAATTTGATATGATTCACTTGTCCCAGATTGTTACCCTCCCCAAGCAATATTTCTCATTCGGGGAATAATTACCTGGTACCCGAGTCGTCTTCATAAATGATGAAACTGGACTATCTTTCGACTCGGGTCCCATGTGAGTGCCACATTTCATTCGAATGGGTGTGTACACTTATTTTTAGTCTTCTTAGAAAAAAAAAAACTTTCCATAGTTCAAACTTCAAACTAAGGCGGTTTTTAATTTTTATTCGAGGTTTAATTGTTTTTGTGTGTTATTTAGCCTTTCTTATCAGCTACACACACATGATTATTTATTAATTACATTCTCTTAGATGCAAACAGTATCAATCAGAAAAAAAAGTGTTTTTTTTATTAAATTATTTTTGCTAGGATTCTGGACGAATTTTTTGGGTAAATTTTTATTTTAACACCCGAGCGCTAATACCCCTTCAAATTTTTCCCAAATAGTCTTATTTCCGTGCAAATGTATATGCTGAACTCAAATCAACAATTAGATATGGAAGAAACCTACCTTTTTGGATGTTAACGGCCCGAAAAAAATCGGACTTTTTCCCGGTCTTTCGTCAGCCATTACCGGCTTATTGATAAGTAATTCAGTACTGAATTTTGTTGGTGGACGTATACAATTTGGGCCTATTTACTTCCTTCACAGTAATTCCTTGTAGAAATTAGTACGCGCTTCTGTAAAGCGATTTTTTTGTACTTAATTTAAGAAGAAAGTTAACTTTCAAATATATGTAAACATCGACAAAAAAGAATAACAAAGTATTTTTTTAAGAAGAAAGTTAACTTTCAAATTAGGATTAGGTGTTGTTGTTTGTTTTTTTTTTGGGGGGAACGTTATTCTTTTATTTTTATTTTTTTAATAAGAAAGTTAACTTTCAAATTAGGGTTAGGTGTTTTTTTTGTTATTTTTTTTAAGAAGAAAGTTAACTTTCTAGGGTTATATGTTTTTTTTTTGTTATTCTTTTATTTTTTTTAAAGAAGAAAGTTAACTTTCAAATTAGGGTTAGGATTTTTTTCAAAATTCTTTTTTTTTTTTTTAATTCAGCAGTTAAAATTAGGGGTTAGGTGTTTTTTTTTTTTGGTTATTCTTTTTTTTTAAGAAGAAAGTTAACTTTCAATTTAGGGTTAGGTGTTTTTTTTTTCTTTTGTTATTCTTTTATTTGTCGATGTTTACATATATTTGAAAGTTAACTTTCTTAAATTAATTACAAAAAATCGCTTTACGGAAGCGCGTACTAATTTCTGAAAGAAAATAGTTCAGTAGTGAATGACGCTCGGGTGTTAAAATGAAAATTTGCCATTTTTTGTATGTTCATACTCCATATTGTCTAAATGTTCAGAGTTTTTTGTTTAACTGTAAAAATTTGACTACTCCTTTACCACTACCACTAAATTTTTATTTTAACAGTTCACACTAGATATCGAAGTGGGGGGGGGCGATGAAACAGATCCCAAAATAATATTTCCATGAAGTTTTCCAATAAAATAACCTATTCAGTATATAATTCATTCATTAATGAATAAGTCGTGACAATTTCATTTAAATCGAATAATTCCCTGGTTTTTGACAAATGTTTTTGAATAAGAAAGTAGCGATTTTTGATCTTCTGAAAAAACGCATCCATTTTGGTGGCACCTAAATGCTGTTAGCTTTCAAATAAAATCAAAATTTAACTGAAAAAAAATAACATTTAAATTATTTAAAATAATTTTTCTTTTTTTTTTTTTATTATGTCTTTTTTGCGGTACCTAATTTAATCTAAATAAAAAGAAAAAATAATTTCCGTACATAAATAAACATTTTTTAGCTACTTTTAAAACTTTAATACTTATTTTTATTCAAGCATCGAGCCACCATTGTATACGAAAATTGTAAACAAAAAATTTAAAATTCTCTTTAAGACCAATCTTTGTTTGGAGATGATTCGAAGTCTATCAGTAAAATTAAGACATAACTGGATTTTCTAAAAGTAATGCTTACCTTTCACTGAAAACAGAAGTAAAATAACGTTTTATTTACACACAGTATCCTGTGAGGTCAAAGGACATTATAGAAATAGTGTAATTCTAACCCTGTCTGGAAAAGCGCGCGAAAAAAGTAACAATAAAACCTTAAGAATTCGGGAAAACCAGCAGTGCAATAATCAAGTATTTGTTTTTTATGTTTAAAAACATATTTCCTTTAATCAAGAGTTTAAAAATATTTTTTTATTCTATACGCTTTTATTAAACTTGGTATAATGAATAAATTTGAAGGCATTAATGCGTTACTAGAATAAAAAATATAGCGTAAACGCGATTTACGTTAGAATCTAACGATTAGATTAATGTGAAAGGAAAAACATTTATTCTAAGAGTAAATTTTAGAAAAATTCCAGTAAAATTGTCAGTACTAGTTCCACTTGAAGTCTGGGTTGAGCTGATGTCCCTATAGGCGCTCTAGGCACGAGGCCTCACTGATGAAACACAATTCTTCATGATCGATAAAACTCCAGGGTCTACCCGGTGATGGATGGAACGTTACTAGTTTGGTTTTCGAGGGCATCACATGTGAACAGCCAGTTTTCCTTCCCCACCCCCACTGAGCTGTTAGAGCTAAATCAGAGGAGAGATCAGCTGCCAGGTCCTAGTCATCTGGAGTTTTGGGAATGTTTATCAGCATAGACATTCATAAAAGATCTTAGGCAGATCATTTATGCAAAGTAGAAAAAAGGTTGAACAGAGACGTGAGCCTGGCAGGATGTTTGCGCTGATTGCTTGAGCCACAGACAACTGGCCGTTAACAACTACTTTCAGTGACCAACCCGTTAACAATGACTTTATAGCCATAAAGATTGTGCAGTAACCCTCTATGCCACAACTTGTCCAACGCCCTTGAAATATCTAATGCCTCTTTGAGATGTATGTGTTGTCTCGTACATCACTGATTTTGTGAGTAATACTGTGTTGGTATTGATTTTAAATTACTATTTACTTCCTATCCTCAATTCCATTTTCTGAACACTAAAATTTCCATGTCTGACAAATTCCAATTCAACACAAGGTTAATTTAAGCTAGGCCATTATAACAAAAAGTAAATATTTGTAATTTTATATATCTGCTTTTTAAAGACGATGCCTCAAACTGGCACCCAGAACCTAAAAATGTATTTCTTGATGCCTCTCCTATTTAGGCCCTACAACTTTGGTGTGCCGGCTGTCCCATACTATATATATATATATATATATATATGTGTGTGTATGTATATGTATATATATTATAAATTAAATTAATTAATAAGAAAAAGGATTATTTCGTTTTAATAATGAAAAAAATTTGGAACTCATACGAATTATGAGATGGAAGATTTGGGTTTCTTCCTTCAACGGAATGACTTACAAAACAAAAACAATAATAAGGTTTACGGCTTTAACAGTAAAAAGCAGTCCCGTTTATTCATAGTGTGTCTGGTTTTGAAAATGACTTATTGGAAATAATAAATAACATAAATTTCCATGAAAAGAAATGCTACTTCCAAAAATGCCTTGATAAAATAGTAAAAGACATTAACACAGATAAAATTTTAGTGAAATCCGACAAAACAGGAAACTTCTATAAAATAACGACAAGGGACTACAATGATCTAATAAATAAGGATTTATATAAGAACTATAAAAAGGGCAAATAATAATGACCTCAACATGGTGGAGAATATTAATACGAGCAGTAAAACAATCACAGACAAACTGAAGATTAGTGATAGAGTAGGTCAACTAAAGGAAAGAGAGTGCTATATATATATATATAGGACCACAAACCAGATTTCGAAGCTAATCCGACTACGAGGATAATAAACCCTACAAGATATGATATCGGAAAAATTAATAAAATGATCCTTGAAAGGGTAAATCAACAAATTAAAGAAAAAATAGGCCTGAAATTTTGGATTAATACCAAAGACGTTACAAACTGGTTTGCTTATATAAAAGAGAAAAAAAACTGTACACTAATGCAGTTTGATATTGAAAATTATTATCAATCAATATCTAAAAAACTGTTTATAAATGCGTTGGATTTTGCTACCCAGTACACATATATTACTGAAGAAGAAAAGAGCATTATTATAAATGCACACAAAAAATCGGTACTGATACATAAAGGTGAGCAATGGATAAAAATTCATATGACCACTTTGACATCACAATGTGATCACTAGACTCAGCTGAGTCTTCTGATCTCATAGGTCTTTTTATATTATACAATCTTACAGCGCACCGTAAAATTAATATAACTGACATTGGTTTATACAAAGACGATGGACTTATCCTTATAAGGAACTCTACTAACTTTAAAATGGATAAAATTAGAAAAATATTATATAAAGAATTTAAAAGCCTAAACTTAAAATTACGGTAAGGACTAAATTAAAAAAAAAGTTAACTTCCTTGATATAACATTAGATTTAATGAAAAATGTATACATACCTTATAAAAAAAACAATACCAATCTTTTATATATACACCCTAAATCAAATCATCCTCCATCTATAATTAAACATATACCTTTATCTATCGAAAAAAGAATAAGTAC